TGTGTGTGTGTGTGTGTGTGTGTGTGTGTGTGTGTGTGAGTGTGTATTCTTGCATTATGTGGCTATATGGCACTGTTGAGTTAAATCCTTTAACTCATGATGGCTGTTTGCCTTCATTATTGGGTCAAATAATATTGATTATTTTAAGACCTTGATTTATGGGGCCAATAATATTACAGAACACAATTGTTTTTGCATTAAAGCAGATAAACGTTTGGCATTAATTTGTCAGGTACCCCACCATGCGCAAGAACAAAATAGTAACACTTCTTTAAGTATGAGAATGCTTATTAAGGGAAATGCAATATTAAAACCCTTCTTTCGTTGATTTGAATTTGTTCAATTTAACAACAAAGGAAATTGAAACACCTCACAGTTGAAGAGCTGCTGTCTTAGTTTAATCCTTTGCATTATTTTATTTGTGCCATTATGTAACCATTAAAATTCCGTTCTTTGCCTTTCCCCCCTCTCGTATTTTTTGCCCCCCCCCCCCCCCCAAAAATAAAAAAGTAAAAAGTGATATTTATACATAGGCACAATCCACAGTCGTCTGACATCTTTTACTGTCTTAAACAATTTGAAAGATTTGAAAATCTCATCACTGAGAAATAATGAAAATTGAGGAGAAAAAGAGCGATTGACTCTCCTGAAATAGTTTCAGATTTTTATATTACAGCAGTATATTATTTCTAACCATTGAAGTGGAGGTAAAAGCTAGTAATCAGGTTGCCAAACACTTTTCACAGCAAGTGAGAGTAAAGAGTTTTAGTTTTCATGTTCAGCATGCAATTTAGTTTTATCCGTTATATATTTTTTGACCATTCTGACCACAGAATGGCATCCAGTTAATACTTTACTAACTGCTAGGTTCTTTACTTTAATGCCATCAAACAAGATTTCAAACTTCAATGCAACAAATCACAATGTGCAATCATTTCCCCAATTAATACAGACAATTTTATTGAGACACAAGATGATATATTTAAGAAAAACCTGTTTCAAACGAATTACAAAATGAAAATTTACTTTCAATGCATGCAGCAATTTTGCTAATAAAACAGCAAAACAGAATAAAATGAACAATTTTTTATGTTTTTTAGTTTTCCTTATGGTGAGTTTAAAAGAGCTTCATATAATTAAGTTGAAACGGTTCAGGTTTTGTTGTAACTTGTTCCAACTCAAGAGAGTAGGGGGAAAAATGCCCTTTTCTCATTCTCTGTACTTACTGATGAATTGCTAAAAGTAATTGAGGATTAGCACCGTAGGCTACTTTGACATTTTTCTGTTTTGTAAAGCTGAACATGGAGCACACATTGTCGCTGTCAGCCAAAAAAAAAAAAAAACTTTAGATCTCCCTTTTTTAATCCCTTTCATGTTTTTTTTTTTTTTACATAAATCAACTTGGTTACATTTAACATCCATCTGTGGTTTTGTGGATGGCTAACCAATGAAAAATGTCAAAGCAAACTTTTGAGCACTTGACTGCACTGTTTCCTAAAACTTGCATTCTCTTAGAAAATTTTGTCCAACTGTAACAATTTTCCACCATGTTTTAGTTTCTTTCTTTTTTTTTTCTTCGATTATAAATGTGTGCATTTCTGTGCGTGCATGTTTGTTTTGCTACACCTGATAAAATCTGCACAACTTAGATGATTTTGTTCTTCATTCCTCTCGGTGCCTGGACGGCAGGTTGATGCGAAGTGCCCGTGGAAACTCCGACGTAAACAAAAACGAGAGAGCATCTTGCTCATGCAAATTGTTTTTCTCCTCCTCCCGTTGGTGGATTTATTTGTAAACAAAAGAAAATAAATAGCCTGCTGTTTTATCTGGCTCTGCCATCGTAAGAATGCATTCTAACCTGAATCTCCTCTCCCCCTCAGTTTGTTCCTGGACCAGTACAGAGCCAGCCTGGTTGATGCCATAAGGAGATTATTGCAACCCAACGTAAGTTTGTGTGTGTGCCTACTGTATACATCTCTGCTTATCCCCTTCCTCTAATTCACCTCCCCCTCTTCTTACTCATAATTAGGCTTTCCCCCCAAAACCCTACACACATTAATAGTCTGACGGGATTAATATCATGTAATGCTTTAATGCTTATTATAGGCAACCTGAATGCATCACTCTGATCTTGGTCTCTCTCTTCTTTGCCTTTCCCTTAATCATAAATCCAAGGCAACTTCTCCATTTTGGCCCTGCGATAAGACCCCACGCTGTGACAGTCAAAGCAAAAACAGGGGAGAAAAGCAAAAGGCTGGAAGAGATAGGCTTGAGATTTCTATTCATCTGAGGGAAGAGGGCTGCGTTCAAGTACAAGGGGCCAAACTGTTTGAGGGTAGATCAGTTTATGGAAATGCTACTGAAGAGAAGGAGGTAAGGAAATGAGGAAGGGAGTGAGCAGACCAATGAGGAAGGAGAAGATCAACAAAACTACTTAGTAATAGGATAGAATAGAATAGAATAGAATAGAATAGAATAGAATAGAATAGAATAGAATAGAATAGAATAGCTTTATTGTCTATCCCAGATGGTGACAGAATTTTTTTTTCGACAGGGCTCCAACAACAGCATACTTGCAACACACTCAACTACCCAAAAAATACATAAAAGCACATTAAAACACATAAAACAGACTGTTAAAAGCAACTGTTAAATACATTACAATACTATACCAGGCAATACTGCAAACTGTTTTCATTACAAGTGATTAAATTTTAAACAGTTTGGGTGAAAATGACTCATCTGATGTTTTAGAGACAGAAATGTACTAATTAAATATTGCAAAATTCTGGTTTTGGACTTGTTTTTTTTTTGTTACCTTTATTTTTATAAACAAGGACAATATACAGTATGCATTAGCCATGGAAGGTAAGATGCACTGTTTCAGGTTATAGCTCCGGGTGCTACTTTCTACTAGCCTGACCCTTGCCTTCCTACGCAGTTCCGCTCAATTCTAGTTTCCCTTCTCTGCTCCGTCTGGGACTTCTCCCATTGACAAGGATTTCGCTGTCAGATTTTTAGCCGGGCCAATCAGAGAACAGAATGTCGATTTTCTGCGCAGTGTCTGCTTGTAGTTTATTTTACCTGGGCCAATCAGCAAACAGAAGGCGGAGTTTTGAACGACGTCAATTTTCTGCGCAGTGTCTGCTTGTAGTTTATTTTACCTGGGCCAATCAGCAAACAGAAGGTGGAGTTTTGAACGACGTCGATTTTCTGCACAGCCAGTCCGTGTTGATAAGGCTTCCAAATTAAATTAAATCTGTCTGACAAAGCAGCAGCTCTCATTTACAGTCGTCTCATTCGGCTCGGTACTTTTCTCCTCTCAATAGGGTTGTTTACAGCGCTCGCGATTTTTGGTTAGCTTCTTAGCTTAGCCTTTTTCATAGCGACATTTTAGCAGAGGCCACGCCTCCAGCAAGAATTGCTTCTCTATAACCGAGAGTCCAGACTCTCGTACAAAGCAAAGTGAAGGGCAAGGGTCTGGTTTTTACCAGGCTAAGTTTCCACCTGCAGTCCCTGTAGTTGTTAGAATACTTGTCAGTAAAATTTTGATTATTGCCTCTGTGTTTCTTCTGGTATGGTTAAAATATTATTATTTGAGACTAACTAATACTATTTAATTATTATTGGCATTTTTAATCGGAAGGATTTGAACTTGGATTTAAGAATTGATTTTCATGACAACTGTCAATAAGGCTTTAAAATCATTTAATGTTGTTTTACAGCCCAAATAGCAGCATGCACTGTAAACACCTGCAGCCTGAATAAGTTTAGTGAAACGCAGAAGCTGCTTCGGTTTAATACTGAAAGCTGATAAATGACTGGCGTGACATCTGGCTGTTGTCGTACAGTTGCATGTTAAGTCTCTTCATGTCTCTCTCTTTAATCCAGTGGAGATAATTCAGGGGCTAATATGATTTGAGTGTCGGCCATCAGACTGTTGCTGCCACAACAAGCTTTGGCAAATATTTAATAATTTGCTAAGCTGATTAAACAATTAACAAAGCAATTACTTCTCCCTTCTAATGGCACTAATTTGTTGTTTCTGACAAAAGGTGGTCCATCCGCTGGGCTGGATCTCCTCATTCAGCTGATTAGTACTAGAAGGAATTTTGTCTGTTTGTTTGCTTTTTCTCTTTTTAGACAGAGGGGAAAAAAATCCAGCTGGATATACAGATGAATTATCATCTGTCAAACTGAGTGATCCTGCTGCTTCCACTGCTTTTGTGTGTGTGTTTATTTTATTTTATTTTTGCCGGTGTTTGTGTCATTGTGCATTTATTTCTTTGTGTGTTTACCAAGTCTTTGGGCTTCTGTGAGCTTCGCTCTCCTTGCTTCATTTAATTAAAACAAAAAAAAGAACATGATCAACATGAAATAAAACTGAAAGCTGAAGGATTTCAAAGACACTTTGAACTTGTTAGTAAGCCTCTTAGTATTTGCTGGATGCCTGTGATATGTCTAGGATGCATGTTCACACACAGCGTCTCATATCATGGTCTTTTTTTTGCTTGTAAACACACTTAAGAAGTAAAAAAAATCACACAAATATATGTGTGTGTTTATGTAAATATAGGGGTGGTTTCAACTTTCTGTTTTAACTTTATTCTGTAATGTTTGCGGCAACTTGCAACCAACTATAAAAGAAAATGTTTCATAAAATCAGGCACAATTTTTAAAAAAAAGTCCCACTTTAATGTCCTTTTGTGTTTTCTGACTCAGGGTATGGCATTAGTGTTCGCTCCACTGCGAGGTGAAACTCTGAGTCTGTTCTGTGAGTTAGCCCAGCAGGCCGGACTGTGCGTTTCCCAGCACCAGCAGTACGATGCTCAGGTCTGGAATGTTCACTTAAAGGTAAGAAGGACATGCAGGAACAAAAAGACTCAGCAGAACTGAGATCATTTCTTAAAATAATAAATTTCTAATCCTAAAAGTGGTGTCTCGTAGCAGGTTGCTGACGAATGGTAGTCACATGAATGTGTCATGAATCTGCAGGGTTCTCAGCTTCTTTGTGTCACAGAGGCCCGCAAACACTTGATTTTTGAACATATTATAGAGGTTTATGCAACACTTTTCTATTAAAATAGTCACAAAGTCTTTGTAGGTGTCCACAACCTAATCCATCAAAATTTTGCCACAGGTGTCTCAAACTGATCTCAAGAGCACTAGAACTATGTTTTCAGATCAGACCTGCTCAGGAGTTCTCTGGTACCAAACATCTGATGCAAATGTCCAAGAAAATCAACGTTTTTCTACAGTTTTCCCACAATTTTGAAGATATATATTTTTTTGCTTATCAGTAGTGATGTAGAAACCAGCATTTTTACAAGCACTCGTTCAAAATACCCCAATATCTAGAACCAATGCCAATTCTGGTATCAATACCAAATTCAGTTCTTTACTGAATGTGTTACAGTCTGTTCCATGTTTATAGGTAATGTATACAAGTTGAAAAATTAATTAATTAATTTATTTTAAAAATGTATAATGTTGTATATTTAATTTGATCCAGTCAGAGGGGCTGTAGGCCTATAAGGAGGGAGAACCACCTTGTTCTAAATGATAAAAAATGTTTTTAAAGTCATTGTGTAATGTTTAGGTTCTAACTCAGTAAGTACTTGGTATTAGTACTCGGTATCAGCGAGTACCCAAACTGAAGTGCTCACACTCGTAGCCTACTCAGTTTGAAGAAAAACTGGTACTTGAACACTCTTACTAAGTAGCATCTCGACAGTCGTACCACAACACCAAGCTGAGTTGAAGGCAACCGAGCTTCTTTCTTTGATTCTTGATGACTTTCTGCCTCTCATCCAAAGAGATTTCTCCATTTCAAACTGAAAGTTGTTGAAGCATGCGTTTAGGACTTTAGGACTTTGCACCTTTCTGTTTAGAAATAAGAAAGCTCCTTGGGTGAGAAAACAAATTTCTTCAACAATAAAATAAAAAGATCAGTTGCCATAGAATCAGCCTGCTAGGAGGATCTTGTCCTAAATGGCTATTGATATTTATTTGTTTCTGCTTTCCTTAATCTTTTGAAGGTTTTACAAGGAGAAAATAAAAGGTTAAAGTTTCTACTTGTATTGGAACTTATTGCTTCTTGTCCATTATGCACATTGAATCAATTAAATGGATCAAGCCAACATAAATGTAGTACAGTACGTATTTAAGTATGTATTTATTCTTATTTTTCTAATATCAGTCTTGAGATATTAAGTAGACATCTCTATTTAAAGAACAACCATCCAGATTGTGTGAGCTGCACTGCTGCACTATTGTTTGATGTTTAGAGACACACTGAAGCAAAAGCAATCTGTCTTAACTGGTCACTGCTAGAATGGGTGAATGAAGAAGAGAAAAGGAGAGTGAAAAAAAATCAAACAGCGACAGAAAGCACATGAGTAGGCTGTGTTAAAAGAAGTGGTGTCCAGCTGTTAACTCCATTACACACAGTGCTACAGAAGAACAGGACGGCGAGGAGTGGACTAAATTGTTGCACGTGTTCACCTACACTGGTGAGAGAATTGAGCAGACTGGCCATTAAAGTGCCTGTTAAAGTGGCTCAAACCCCAGTCAGGAAAATCTTGGTCCTTTTCTCGTTCTCCCTCTCGACTATTTTTTCCCCGATCAACTTCAGACGATCTCAAAACGCCTCACACATTTTGTGGTGCACGAGTTCACTGTCAGTAGTCAGCACTGAACCTTATGGTTGTTGTTTTCCTTGCAGTGCAGTAGACATAGAAATAACGCACATATTTAACTGCTTAGTCATGATTGTGTCAATAAAAAGGTAAGTGAGTGGGCCTGACATTGTTCTTTTATCCTGATGTTCTCTGAGCTTCAGGGTCAGCCAAGAGTTGATGATAAATGTCCTCAAAGATGCTCGCGTCAGACAAACAACTTTAGAATTTAATTTACTTATAAAAGTTTTTATGTTTATCTGTGCAGTGCACCACAAATAGTTCTACAGTGAAAACGTTCAGATGTTTTCTCCTCTTAATTGTTAAAGTCCATGAGCATGACTTGAATTCATTTTCTAAATCACAACATTTTTTAATAAACTGACCAATCAGCTGAAAGGGGAGGACATCAGTTATTAAAAAAAAAACAAGATGACACAGAGACACATCACACATTGCTCCAGTGGCTAACAACACAGACTAGAGAAGAATCTGATGTTTCTTTGGGAGTTTTATTTTCTTCCCCTTTTATGTCATTTCCTGTTTCACTTCAAAAGAAAATATGCCAGTTATGTGACAAAATGGGTGAAATTGTGTGTATAATGCCAAGTTTCTTAAATATGAAGATGTTTTCTTTTACTTTATGTATTTGAAGGATTCATGTTTTGGTACCAACCCATTGTAGAAAAAACAAGATATTTGGAACTATTGCTGTTGTATCTAATTTAACTCAATCCGAGCATTTTATTTCTACTTCTACCCAGTTTCCTACTGGTATTGTAAAAGTATTCTGATTCTAAAGCTGTACAGAGAACGAAGAGTTGCTTGCCAACTATGCGCAAAACAGTAAAAATAGTACCACCTTAAAATTTGGGTTTCTCCCCGCAAAAGTGCAATGAAACAATTAAACCATTTGACTCACATTTGCAACATACACCTGTTTCTGTGTGACAAAACACACACACACACACACACACACACACACACACACACACACACACACACACACACA